CTGTTTGCACCAGTCATATATTTCGACTCGCTCCCCGGATTTCGTGCTGAACGGTTGTGCCCCCGCGATCTCCGACGACAACGCAGCTCTGGCCGACTGGGCTCTCCCACGCCATCTTCTGACGCCGACAAGAGCTCTCGCCGAGTAGTGCCCTGTCCTCGGACTCCTGCGACTGTATGCGCCTTGACTTTGGCATGTAGTCAACTGCTCACATGACGCGCATCTCATGATTATCATGTTTGCACCAGTCACATACCTTCGTCATTCATTGACGTTACGTAATACCAAATTTAATATGATATGATTAAGCTAGCAAAACCGCCGCGAGCACGTCGCGAGTGTGGCATGCAGTCATGTTTTTACATGACACACATGTCGTGATTGTCTTGTTTGGACACATCACTTACCTATGTCGTCCGTTCGCGTCACGTAATACCGAGTTTGGTACATGTGATGCTAGCGAAACGGCCGCGAGCGCATCAAGAGCGTAGCATGTACTCATGTTGTTACTTGACACGCACCTCATGTTGATCATGTTTTCACCAGTCTCATACTTCGTCATCCACTCACGTCTCGTAATACCAAAAGTAGTAAAAGTGAAGCTAGCGAAACGGCCGCCACCGCATCATGAGCGTGGCATGTAGTCATGTTATTACATGACACGCATGACATGATTTTCACGTTAAGGTCTGTCGCTTGTCTCCGCCATGCAATATTGTTATACCATACCAGTTTTGCAACATGCCATGTGAATGAAAGCACCGCAAGAGCTGCCGGACCATGAAATGTAATTCATGACATTCATGGCATACATGCCATGATTTTCATGTTATGGCTAGTCAAATATGTTATGCATACAGTCCTGTTATGCCATATATCAAGATAGATAGATAGATAGATAGATAGATAGATAGATAGATAGATAGATAGATAGATAGATAGATAGATAGATAGATAGATAGATAGATAGATAGATAGATAGATAGATAGATAGATAGATAGATAGATAGATAGATAGATATGCTCAATGTTGCCGCAGTTCGCTATGAAATGGTTCGTATTTTTAAAGCACCTAATAGTGCCCACGCCTAATAAGTGGTGTGGCGGTGTTAACGTGGTGATTAAGAGAGCGCGTTCGCCGAGGCGAACGACCGAGTTCTGCGGGAGTTTCTCCTGCGGCACTTGGGCTTTGATTGCGACGTCTGTGACCAGCTGTGGTTCGAGAACAACCACTGTGATCAACGCATTGCGAAACGCATTTTACCGTTCATTGCACTCCTCCACGACCATGATCATGCGAGGCACAACATGTGGCATGTGAATTAAACACTGTGGTATGTTCCTAGGAGAGAATCCCCTTTTGATATTTCGTAGCCTTGTAAGCGAACTTTCATCAAGCATAGCAATCATTTTTCAGGAAAACTTAAACAGTGAATATATCAAATTGCTGGATATCGGGAATCTCGTAAACCCACGCCAAACGTGTGTCTAACCTGATTAAGAAGCACGAACATGCAACCAGTAATAGTGAAAGGTTCAGTGACGCGTCGGGTTGAATCCACTACTAAACACTGGGGCCGCACTTTCCACCTTTCACTTGTACGGGGTGCTTGGGTGGTGATTTCTTTTTTTGTGTGTGTGTGTGTGAGCAAACCGCACAAACGCTATTGACGGTTAGCGTTTTGACGCATGCGGAGTGGCAGCGCCCACGTTATTCGAAATCAGTGTTGTTTTATTGCGATTTATGTGATGACGAAGACCGAAACTGGCACGCTGGCACAGACGCGCATGCTTGGCGAGCGAGGTGGAGGAGAAAGAAGATATAGAATAACAGCTGGCTCAGGAACGGGTCTGGTGTTGAATCTTGTCAGTCTAGTTCATGGCTATATATATATATATATATATATATATATATATATATATATATATATATATATATATATATATATAGTGGGTATGTGTAATAAATGTGCGCACTGTTACACCGGTGTAACCCATGCAATATGCTTGCATCACTTGGGCGTCCGCAACAGCTCGGTGGACGCAACCTGCTACTTTCAATGGTAGGCTGCCTTCACAGAGTTGTTGCAGACACCCAGCTAAGATGGTCGAGGACCACGCGTGCACGCGTCGTTCCCTGCTACCGGTCGTGACACATGCCAGGACAAGGCTGGCGTCTCAACTACTATAGCGTGAGCTGTGCTTCTTCACCGGGTGCGTTCGTTCATGGTGCCGCCTTTCATAGATCGACTAAGGATGGAGTGATACGTGCGTGCTGTACGCTTCTAAACCCACCTGACGCCCACCGAGTAACATGTCCCGGCAGTACTGTTGCATTTTGATAAATATATTCCGTGGTCAATTGACCAGGGGGCTCTACACAGCTCTGAGTGGTTGGTACACTGTCGCTGATGCTGTTCGATAGTGAGTTTTAGTGCCGGGCCACACCCTTACGCGTAACCTTGGGTTCCTTTGTGCTTCCAACCGCGCGTATGCAGAATAGAAGGGAAAGAAAGGGCTTATATCAGCAATCCTCAAACAGGCTCCAGCAAAAGAAAAAAAAAAATATTCGGCTGATCCCGCGTACCTTGGGAATCAACGTTATGCAAAGCGTGCGGAGAGAAGGTGATAGTGTTGTAACACGTTCATAAATGACACCAATTATATGTGAAAATGTGGTACGCGCAGACATATGTAGAACAGTTGGAGATGTTTAATAGGCAGTTGTTTGCACTTGTGCAACGATGCCAACAGGAACATGAGCATCAGCAACACCAGAAGCAATAAGCTGATATGAAGTGCCGGTGGGGACGAGGGTGCACCCTGAGCACTGCTACTCAAATCAACATCAGCGCACGGCAACGGACTACAATTGACGTTAACGCTGCGTGACGGCTGTGTCAAAGCAGCACATACGCTACCTTTATAAAACTCTATAGACAGCACCGCGACCTCAATTGACGTTTCACGAACATTATATGGTCTCTTTGGAAAGCAGTTCCGTGATCTGGCGTGCCTCTGTCATTGAATGCTTTATTGTCAGGCAGAATGCTGGGGTTCCATCTCTGCTGAGACTCTGACATTTATTCTTCGCAATCGTGGTGTCAACTCTGCCAATGTGAGGTTTTTCTAAACGCTGGCGCGTTAAAAGTACCCATGTGTGTTCTCAGCGTTCTTGGGTATACAGTTACTAAGTGTCAATCACCTTTTTAGAGGAAGTTTTGTGCAGTGGGATTTACACTTTCTGCGGTGCATACCTCTTTATGATGACGATAGCTCTCTGATAGGCCACACAAATTTCTCTGGCGCGTACGTGTTTGTCGGGCTAACCGTTGCCTTCTACATTTCTAGTGGACAAATGGTGCGTGAGATCTACCCAATTGCTGTGGCGCAGACATTCATGATGATCATGAAGATTTTTTTTAAATGCGAAGCATTTCTTAGCGAACTTCAGTGACTTTGTGCGTATCTATCTGTCTAGCCGCTTACGTTTGGGTACTCTCGTGGTCACCCCCTTAACTTGGCGTTAACGAAAATTAGCTTGAGAGGGTAAGGTGGTTGGACGAATAAGACGTGCTGGTCAAGACACGAATAATGTCACAATCCCGTCGCGTACGTCGTCAAACACTTCCCGTCAGATGGCACATGCCCACTGTTGTGTATGTGCCGCTGGTATCCGGGTATGTGCCACATGTGATTGACACTTAGTATGTACCCAGGAACGATGAGAACACACATGGGCAGTTTTAACGTGTGAGCGTTAAGAAATACCCGACGTTGGTAGCGTCGACCCAACGAATGCAAAGAATAAACGTCAGGGTCCCAGCTGGAATCGAACCCAAGCATTCTGCGAGGCAATGAAGCATTTAGCAGAGAGCTACGCCAGGACTCGGAACTACATTTAAAATAGACACCAATTTCTAGAAACTTCAATGGTGGTTGCAGTGCTGCCTACCCAATTTTATCATCATTGCATGTGTACTCTTTTGATACAGCCTTCACAAGAGGTTAACGTCGATTGTGGTTAGTTGTCATGCGCTGAAGTTGATTTGAGTAGCAGTGTCCAGGACCAGCATCCTTGTAAGCATCAGCGCTACATATCAGCTTCTGGAGTTGCTAATACGCGTGTTCCAGTGGGCATCATTTCGCAGGTGCAAACAACTGGTTATATAAACATCTGCACCTCTTCAACATATGTCTGTGCGTGCAACATTTGTACATATAATTAGCGTCATTTCATAACACGTCGCTCAATAAAAAAATTGAAACATGGTCCCCTTCCCTCCGCACGCTTCGCATAATGTCGATTACCAGGTACGTGGGATTTGCTGAATTTTTTTTTTGTACGGGGTCAATAAAAACGGATTTGCCTAATACTTTCGCTGTTAAAACTTGGAAGCAACTTTTAGATCAAATGAAATGTAATCGTGTGGATGAAAGTGTCAGAAGAGCTTCTTTTTCTGTATTTCGGTGATGCTGAAAACTCTGCGGGAAAAAAATGACGTAAAATGGGCCATATACTTTAGTAATAACTCTCTTACTTTCTCGAGCCACGATAAATGGTCGCCCTGAATCAATTATTTATTGTCGTTAATTTTCTTCCGTACAATGCACAAGTGTGCCCACCGGGTTGACATTCTGAGTGATATTCATGCTCCTTAGTACCCGCAAATGACTACATTAAAAAAACTTTTATGTTTATTACCAAAAAATTAGGTTCTAGGCAAACGTTCCTAAAACTAATTTATTTTTGTAAAGGGTTTTTACTTAGAGCAGCACAAAAGATTAATGCGCTATCGTTTCCCTGCGAACGATCAGACGGTAACGTTCTGAGTTTGTACATTCGCTCGAAAATACAAATTGTGCCATTTTCATACAGGACCGAACAGGACTTTACATATTTACTCTGGTGTCTTTGTTTTGGCCTCTATAAGGTACATATGTGGCTAACTGAGCGCCCCCTAAATGAGCTGTGCTCACGTGTATCTTTCTGTATGCAGCGGTGACGAGCCGGCAGACAAACGCAAACGGCCACTGCGGTTCTCGGGCCAGCAGGACATCCAACTTCTCCAGGAGGTGAGCACTAACTACAGCTTCCTCTTTATCTACACAAGCATTAATGCTCGTCTATAACGAACGCATTCATTGTTTTTGTTAACTGCTGTTAGCTCAATTTCACAGTTGCTATCGTCGAAAATTCTCCATACAACGGGGCAAGAAACTGCCTTGAAGTAATTAGCCTGTTTTCTCTTGCGGAGTTGCAGCTACTTCCTTGGCTTAATGTCTGTTCTGTTGTATTATGCCGTAGTTACAGCGATAAAAGACAGTATGGTTAGTCTGGAAGGAAAGTGGCATATATAAAAAACAAATTTGCGCTTTACACTCATTAATTAAGGGTTTCGCATCTAAATGTTGTGTGAATAAAATGGGAAGCTAGGCATTTCAGTCGTTTTACTGATGGCTTTCGGTAACTGCTTTGTGAATACGTAAAACAATATGATCGCCTGCCGCGCACATAATCGTTCAAGTATGCGGAGTACCTAAAGTAACTACGAAGGCATTTTCATAGCCTAGCGTAATGCATGATCCAGCTGGTGGTGCTCGAATGGGGTCGATCATCTGTATACACTTAGAACCATGCGACCTGGTGTTTCTGTAGCATGCGGTAGAAAACGTTATTCAGGAGCAACCCTGACAGGACAGTGTGCAGATGTGTGTGTGAAGAGGGGGTGGCAGAATTTTTTTTTATTTGCTTTATTTCATAAAACTGTTCCGTCGGTACGCTTGCCTCCTGAATGCGATGCAACACACACCCAAATTCATACATGTTTCGTGTGGTGTCGACTGGCATCAAACGGCGTAATTTTGTGTTCTTTGATTAGGACAACAGTGAATGGACCAGTGCTAGATCATTCTGTTGAAGCATCTCCGACTATGGTTATCGAAATCCCGAGGCAATACAGGGAGCTATCAAAGATGCTGTTAGAATCCATAATGTATTTTGCCCAGCTCGGGTTCTTTAGCATGCACCACAATCGTGGAGCGCCGAGTGTCGTTTGCACTCCGCCTCCTATCAAAATGCTCCTATAAATCTGAAATCATACCAACGTATTTGGAAATCGAAGAATCCACCACGCAGCGCTGCACTGTGATGTCGAAGGGGTGAATGAGATAATCGATTCGTTGCTGAGCAGGTCGTGAGCCTCAACCCGTTCAAGGACACTCCACCAACTACGGCTTGGGCGGCGATATCGCGCAACCTGGACAGCGTGCTCAAGATCAGCTCTCGCCGGTGCCGTGAGCGCACCATCCTCATGTTGGACCAGTACATCAAGGGAGACCTCGCAAGCCTGCAGCGCTTTTGCACCAAGGACGAGCTTGCCGTCAAAGAGCAACTGCTGCATCAGGTGAGTCCCCAATTCGCTTTCTCAAGGAACAACGAAGGTATACACGCAGTGGCGGAACCAGAGGGGGGCGGTAGGGACGATCGCCTCCTCCCTCAAAGCCTGTATCATCAACGCTCCCCTCTCTCTCTTCATGCTTGTCATCCACCTCCTATCACCAATCAGAACAGTTGAGTGCAACCACCGTGTGCCGAGATCATGAGTGTTTATGCTATGACGGGGTTTTATTGTGACTAGAAACAAAAGAGTAGGATCTCTTTTCCTCCGGTGTTTCTTCAAGTGACTGCTCGTCCCTTAGTGAGGTGCTGAATGCACCCGTGGGTAGACATCATTTATTGCGGCATTGTCCGTGAATGTGCTTGATGTGCAACGGCTGAATGACCTAATAATTACCATAATATCTTGGGCTCAACGTCTCAAGACGCGGACGTAATTATAAGAGACGCCGTAGTGGAGGGATCGGAAACTTCAATCTCCTGGGGTTCAACGTGCGCCTAAATTAAGACACATGGGCCTCAACCATTCACGCATGCATCGCAAATGCGGCTTCCATGGCCGGGATTTGATTCCATGGCCTGCAGGTCAGCAGTGGAGTACCACAACCACTATACCATCATGGCAGGAGAGAAACGAACGAAGAAGAGAACACTTCAACATTTTACGATCTCATCATGCTGCGCTTATTGAGAGGTGGACTTTGGAGGCGCCACACTGGAGATTACAATTTGTAGATCATACTTATGGAGACGGTATGTCGCTAAATAAAGGAAGAGTCCTTCGACCCTTTTTTGTTAATTTCAAGTTGCCACGAGTAAAACTCTCGCTAAAGAGACACGCAAACTCTTTTTGGAGATCATCGTACTCTTTCCGTTAAACGTTAAACCCCACATATCAATCAAAGCTCCGGAAATTCCGATCACATGAGGCTCTTAACGTGCGCGCAAATATAACTACACGGGCCTCTAGCATGTCACCTCCTTCAAAATGTGGCCGGATCCCGTGACTTTTGGCTCACCAGTTTACAGCCACAGCTATTAGACCACTGCAGTGGCTGTCAACATAAATGAGTCGGAAACATGGCAATTCATGAGTATACGACATGTGAATGAATAGGCAGTCCTATATGCTCTTTGGTTGAAGAAGGACAATTCAGGCAGACTCAAAAAGTAAAGCTTCTTGGTTGACGAAAAAATTGTTCTGATCGAAGATTACCACTAGGGAACAATTATTTATTGGTGGAGTTGCTGTACTATCTGAATTGACCAAGATATTATAAGTCGGACCGTGAGAGGGAGTTGGTGTATCATTCGGAGCACTGGAACACTGAATATTAAAAAAAATTGTGCGAAACTCGCAAGCTGTAAAAGAGCAAGTAGCAAATTTAACTACAGTGTTTAGAAAAAGCGTGAAATCATTTCAAGTACTTGGTACTCTACAATGAGAGAGTAACAGTCAATGAATGACGCAGCAGAAAAGCTACAAACTGTATCGTTTTTCTTAGCTTAGTACCAGATGTACATAGATGTCGGTTGACCCTCTTAAAAGCCCAAGTTTATGCCTTGATGTCTGAGTACAAAAACTACACAAACCTAGAAAATGCAGTCATAGGCTTGAATCTTCAAAACAAGACGGCCAATTCTGTAAGATCTTTACTAAAAAATAGTCAAGAACATTTGGAAGTATGAACACTTAAAAACAAGATAAAAAGCACGTATTTTTCTTTCCTACAAATTCGTTCTGGTGATTCGATAGAGTTAAGACGCAATTTTAGCTGACAATATAGTAAATGTAGGCAGACACACAATTTTATTTCCTGTGGTAAAAAATTGTAAACATTTTTAATTTTCGTAGAAAAACCCACTTCAAATACGTTTCAGCACGTTGTTGCTAACCTTCGTCCACTTGCTATTCTATGGCACGTGAGCTCATGGTAGTATAGAATCGTATTCACGAGTGTCCTAAACTGAAGGCATGTTTTAGTGGTTTGATATTGAAACGCCTTGAGCTGAATTATGAGTATCGCCACCTGTGCGTTCCTAATTGCGGAGGCTCCTATCGGACGACTTATTTTTACTAGGAACCTCGACAGTTTAATTCAAATGCGTGGAAGTGTCACTTGTGAGGGGGCCTTACACAAAAGCAATACATAACAACACGGACCTATTTGCTATAGAAGAATAATCATATATGACAGCTGTACTCCTAACAATGTTACAATAAAGATTATACAGGGCGTCCCAATTATATAGAGTGTCCCTGCTGCCCCCTAAAAAAAAAGAGGAGTGGCGTTATGTGAAGCGACGCTATAATATACATATTGTTCCCAATGTAATGTAGTAGCTCCTAATAATTTGTTATTAACGACAAATAATTGTGTTCATTAAGATATTTGTAACTGAAGAGTCTTCACTTAATTACAAAAATGTCTTTGAGGTATGTGTGCTCATGTTGAAACATCCACCTTTGCTACTTTCAGCAACGTACTAATTGCGTGATAATTTTTCCTGTTAACGAAGAAAGCATGTGAAATACAAAAATAACATGCGACTAGACAAGCGCGCGGCTCGGAAAGAATCGGCCTCAAACAAGCTTACATTGCGAGAGCCGGTAGCAGTGAAATAAATGTAGGAAGAAAAAAAATACGGATCACATGCCACTTTCCGTCCGAAGAAATGCGCCGCCTTGTTTTTACAGTCAGGCTGTGATACCTCAATTCAGAACAGCCATCTGGCCTCGTTGTCAATGGAAGCAGTCGACAAGAAATATGAATGATGATAGCGACGTACAATCTTAGCGGAAAGAATCCCTGCAAAACTGTGACGGATGTTTGGCACCCGACCTGTACCCTTGCCAATGTACAAAATGGTGACTCCGGCAACGGAAAAGAGGCAAAGGGTTTGCTTCCAGTAAGATTGTTTGAGGGCTCTACTTTATTTTCCCGGTGTGAGCGCAGTCACGTGCTTTTTTCATATTTCGCGGGCTTTTATGGGAACAATAAACTGAGCATGAAATTAATACATTGCTACAAGTAGCACAGGCGCATGTCATCTCAACAAGTGCTCATCTGCCTCAGTGACATTTTGATAATTACGTCAGTACCGGGTGAGTTACAAATATAATTAAACAAGTTAGGTATTGGTCATTACTCAAAAATTTTGTAACGGCTAGTTCAGTATACTGGGAATGATATGGACGAGGTCTGCTTCACGTAACGCCGTTCCTCTTTTTTTTTAAATTGTGCTGCATGATAACTGGCACGTCCTGCTTATTGACCAATATTCACCTTTACATTTCGGTATGGCCTTGGCATAGGTGCTGCAGCAATACGAGAGCGGCGCAGGGGGTTACAGCTCCCGCATCGGCTCTGGAGTCTCTACGGCGCCCCAAGCAGCTGCTGTCCAAGAGGACGACAACGAAGACTTTGACTTGTACCGGCCTCGCATCATTCTCCATGAAGACTCAACGCCCGAACACTCCGACAACCACGAACGTAAGCCACCTAAAGCTATGTAACAGCGAAATCCAAGCAGTAATTGACTAAAAAATTAAAGTGGCACTACTACATTTTACTTGCTTGACTCGCTTGGATATTACACATTGTTGTCAGCTGAAAGAACTGAAAATGAATTCCTCAAGTGGAAAGAGAGGGTACTATGGGTGTTATTTGAGTTGATAACGCTTGACCAGTATTTCCCAATTATTCGCTCCGGAATGATTGTGCAAGTTAGCGTATTTATTTATTTATTTATTTATTTATTTATTTATTTATTTATTCTTGGTGGCCTGGAAAGGCAGCTGCACTCCTCTTCTTCACCTCTCCTCACTTGGCGTGGCAGCTTGACAGCCGGTGTCTCGGAAAAATGCAAGCTCACATACAGAAGCAGTGTAGCTTCTCTCAAGTTCCTCAATGTTGCCAGCTTAGACTATGCCTAAACAACCATCGTCAGCAGAGTTTTGTCTAATTATATTCCGTTATTCAAAACACCACTAAATGGCAAAATGACACTGCCAACCACGCTTGCTACTAGCATTCATGATTCGGAAACCTAGCCCATGAAAGAGAACAAGTTTACCTCAAACTTCACCAATAAAATTTAGCTTGGTAGGAAAGCAATAGTACAACAATGATATTTGGAGTGCATAGCATCCTAATAAAGCTGGTATGATTTCGTGTACGCACATATGAAGTAATAGTAACTGAATATGTAATTTAAAGTGCAATTGTTTATTTCTTTTAAAGCAGATAGTCATTCACGGACGTATTTCTTCAAAGAAAAATATCCTAGTTCGAACATTTGGGATAAAGGTTGCACTCATATTATTAATTCCTAAAGTTTTTAGTTTATCATTTATGTTGATGGTCTATGCGCAGTAGTGCAACTGTATTTTTTCTTTCATTTGAATATCTGTGCTGTGAAATGAAAACATCCACACAAAAAAATGCCTACGCCTTGCATGTTGATCTGGTTACACTTAAAGGTTAAAATAATGACAATCAAGAAGCCTAAATTGGTGATTTAAAAGAATATCGCGTTTCACTAAGCCTGGTGGTTGTTTTCGACGTGCGGTGGTAATTTACTGTGGGCGCCCTTCGCTTTCATTTTGTCCAAGTTATTTAGCACTAATTTAGACAGACTCACTTAATTGCTTTACAACAGGGGCTTTGGCAGAGAAGTCATGTCCTGCGAGACCAAGGCACCTGCCTCGTTGGTTGGTACATTCATAGTTCGCCATAGATAAGCATCGCTACGTACGTTTTCGCAACGCCTACGTGAACATGCACTCACCCTAATTTGATTCGCCACGTGGCATATCACCGTACTGAGAAGTTGAAGCTTCATATCAGTATTCTGTCCGTGTTATTAGCGGTATTCAGCAGTACGGTGGGGCCAAACCACTGCGCCATGCCACGCCAGCACATAAAGAAATAATCCAATTTGCAACAAGGGCAATGTGTTCCTTTCAAACCATATTTAGGATGAATGAAAGGGGGGTTGCAGTAGATTACACGGCATTTTTGCTGCAATTGGCGCACGCTTCATTAGAAATAGTAGATGGAACCTGACAACAGGAAACATGGGCAGCATTTCAGGTCTTTCACAGCCGTGGTTCGAGTGTGGTGGCTGCATTTTCGATGCAGGCGAGAATGCTGTACGCCCATGAGCTCAGATTTGAGTGCACGTTAGAGAACCCCAGGTGATCGAAATTTCCGGAGTCCTCCACTGCGGCGTCTCTCATAATCTGGGACTTTACATCTCACATCATCATCATCATCCGCCGTAGTTGAAAAATAGCATTGTGCAAGCAAATTATTTCATTGATTTTGCCTCTACAAATTGCTATATAGCAATGCACAGCATATTAAAGGGCTATAATCAAATTTTGAAGGGTGGCAGTTCGGGATAGTTGGTATGAAATGATGATAGTTATAGCGCGAGAACATAACGATGACAATGCGCTCGTGTACTTCTTGTCTCTTTCTCATCGTTCTGTTCTAGCACTATAACTATAGTAGGGCTATTTGCAAGTCTGTTTATCAATAAAAATCTGTGACAACTTCCTTTAGTTAGTATATCTATGTATGGCACTAGTGCTAACATTGGTAAGGAACGGCTTTTGGCATCTCATTTGGCAGCGAGAAAAAACAACAGTGAATTGTACTGAATTTACAGAACGTGACCTAAACTGCTCTTGTTTAATCTGCATGCCGACAGCGCTAATGCAGGCGAAACACTAAGACTGAATCGCATTTGGTTTCGCGTATGGCATTGCTTTTGGCATAGCTATTGTGATGCTGAGAATGCAAGTTATCATAGTAACAAAAAAAAAAAAACAGCGCAAGACAATGGGGGCAGAAATAGCACACACAAGTAACCAGTAAATAATTAGCCTAAACCTTTATGCAGTGTTTACCATGGCCCGCTTCTGAATAGAAATTTGATACGAACAAGGTTAACACGTATAACGTGGCGCCAGAAGTGTCAGGTTACCCAAACAAGCAAGAAGTTGGCTTTCTCGCCTCCATGTTATGCGAAAAAGGGAAATTCCGGAGCTCTCGATGCTCTCTTTGTCCACGACACCAACGCGCTCAGTACACGCTCAGACGATGAGTGACACGTAGTTGTTCATGGTTACGTCGGTTTTCACACCGCTTCAGACATAAAGTCGACTGCCACAGGCGAGCGTAAGCTGTCTAAAAAGTGTGTAAGGCTTGTCAGACGATGACGCAAACACGCTGCATCGACGAGATAAAGGTAGCGGAGGGTACATCGTGAAACATTTATTCCAACGTGTAGATACGACGAGACGAACGTTCGAATTATCGCTTCTATGAAGTACACCATCTTTTCATTTCCCGTGCCTGACAGTGACGGAAGGGGCGAGCGCTTCGCAGCCAGCTTTTATTTTTTACGACGAAAGTCTTTCTTCGGCACCTTCGATGCAAAAAATTTGGTCTGTCTGGCTTTCTTTCTGTCTGTCCATTTGCCTGTTTGACCACTCTTAACAGTACCGGGCACTTCAAACGGCACCAGTGAATATACCGAACGGCCGGCCCCATCCGCAGTGCCCACCAATGTTGCAAAAGGATTCAGCGTTCATACTTGTGCGATTGTCAATTATAAAGCAATTATCGCGCATATCTGAGGCACCCTAACAACACGTATATATTCTGCGTGTGCGTGTTTACTAAAAAAGACATACATGAGTTATTCTAAGGACCGTAGCGCTTATCACGCGGCGCCTACCATGCAACGCTTGCACGAAAAGGGAAGTGGTTCCAACGCTTTGCTAAAACGACACGGTGGTGGCAACTACTCGTTGCGTTGCGTTCTACACCTTATCACCTCTGAGACGGGCACGCACGCCCGTCTCAGAGCCGTGCGTTTTGTTTTCCCAAGATAACTGCCAGATAGCGCTCATGTCTCACGTGTGACGTGACTTGGTGCGCTCGTTCGCCTCCGCTGCGCGCTCGAGATGGTCTAACGCGGCGCCTACAGAATACCATTCACCGATTTTCTTGCGCAGAACATCACGTAAACGTTTTGTTCAATCTCTCCACACGCAAGACTATTGTCTTACGATGACATTTGCAGAATTGTATGCAGATACGGGGACAATTTTTTTTCTTTTCGCCTTCGTCACTGGCCTGGCCAGAGCCACGGTGCTGCTATCGTCGTATTCGCTACGATACTTGGTCAACTTGTGGTGGTTAGTAGTGCGCGCGCTTTACGATGATTCAGAATGATTTCGTATTAGAAGTGAACTCGTTTATGGCCCACTTCGTTCCGGCCGCTTTGTCTAGCGTATTGCTTTCGCGCAGATTCCGGAGTGCTATGCTGGCGGGGTTGCATTCTATACGACATCGTTATTTCGAGCGAGGGGCTCTATGTCATAACAGGCATTCATTTTTGTGCATACACACGCTCACTCGCCACCGGCAATTCTTAACTTCAAGTTAGTTAGTTATTTAGTCAGTTATTCAGTTAGTTAGTTAGCTGCATACATCCCTTTTGTTGATGCAGAAAATAGTAGATCAATGTGCAGATATATAAAAATTTCCAAGTTACTAAAAAAAAAACTGCTTACTGTAACTTCGTGCTGCTAAAGTCTTAAAACTTGAGTGTGGTTAGGGGGTGACATTTTCGACACAGGAAGGTTATTTGTCCCTATGAGATAGGCTAGAAACCACCACATATATTCAGGCAATATACATTCAATGTGCAAAGCAACGCAGGCTCTAGGATTTTAACTCTTATATTGAAATGTATGGCCTTGTAGATGGCTAGTTAGTCAAGTTGGCTCTGGCCATAGGAGCATCCGCCAGGGGAAGGGGCAAGGGGCGCCAGCCCCTATACTGAAAAAAGTTGGGGGGGGGGGGGGCTGTTTCGACAGTGGTAACTCTTGGCAGCACACTGTGGAAACCAACAAGTGAAGTGTAGTTTTACATCAGAACAGTAATCACTCAATCATATTCTTACGGGAAAAGGAAATTGTCACGAGGCTATGTTGTTACAACATATAGTGAAATTTAGCCAACATTGCCACTTTGATGATTTTCCTTCGAAGTTCCTGAGAATATATATATAATATATATATATATATATATATATATATATATATATATATATATATATATATATATATATATATATATATATATATGGTGGGGTGAAATTCAATGGATCCGGTGGAAAATGTGATAGAAAAAGAGGTCGACAAGCGTGCGAAAACACAAGTTTTACTAATGTTACGGCAGGTGGGCCTGCCTTCGTCGGAGAACTGACTCGCGAAAGAATTGATACGCCACTGGCTCTGGCATCGTGTTCACCTAATCTGCAGGCCCGTCGAAACAGCAAGTTTAGCTGAATTTATTTGCGGAGTGTATGTGAGTACTCCTGGCGCTTCTAAACAACCAGCGCGCAAGACATGGCGCTTTGAACACGCCCTACATCTTCAAACGGCATCTATTCCCACAACGTGAAGCAGTGACTTGTTTCTCATTAACAAAATAACCTGAATTAATCGCACGAAGCATTATATTTGAATATATATAGACTGTTCATTTAGTATCGATAAATGATTGATATGTGATGTTGAACGTCTCAAAACCACCATATAATAATGAGAGACGCCATAGTGTAGGACTCCAGAAATTTTGACCACCTGGGGTTTTTTAACGTGCGACTAAATCTGAGCCCACGGGCCTACAGCATTTCTGCCTCCATTGAAAATGCAGCCGCCGCAGCCGAGATTCGATCCCGCTATCTGCGGGTCAGCAGCCGAGTACCTTAGCCACTAGACCATCGCGGCGGGGCCTGTTCATTTAGTATTATATAGTGGATCGCCTAATTTCGCACAGCGCATACACAGTGTATTTCAACCATGTATATGGAATACTTCGGCCCACACGTAGTGCATACGCAAGGCATCGACACGCTGTGCTTGGAGGCAACTTCGCAGCTCCCGTGCAAGTTGTCACCTTATCATAGAGGGTGGTTGTCAGCTTTGGGCTGAGCGGAACCCGCACGCCGTCACGTTGCTACAAGCGCCTCGGTATGTCAACGAAGCCTACCACTATTTAAAAAACTCCCAAGCATTTCCCCGAGGGTGAACATGGTTAAGTGCGAATGCACGGGGTGATGCTAGGAGGGGGAGTAAAGTTAAAATCCGTTGGCATTCGCCAGTGAGCCTTCATCGCCCTTCTCCGCCTGACGCTTGCGTTGTCGTTCCGCTTCTTGGGCCGCGTTCGCGGCGCGATGCTGACGCCTCATCTCGGCCTCGCGAGCGCGCAGTTTGGCATCCGCTGCACGCTTCGCCAGCTTGCACTCGGCCTCGCGAGCACGCAGTTCGGCATCCGCTGCACGCTTCGCCCGCTTACGTTCAGTCTCACGAGCCCTTCGCAGCGCCGCCTTGTCTTCCAACTTCGGTGAAACCACCGCGGTACCGTCACCTCCAACGACGGGTGCAGTGCTGGCATTCGGTTGTACTGCATTCGTTGTTGATGGTAGCGTTGCCTCCGGGACATCCATCGCACGAACCGCTCTCGATGGGAGACTGAGAGAGAAGGCGGGCGTGCGAGAGAGAGGGGTGCGCGCGCAGCTGCAGCGAGCGAGGAGAGCGGAGGAGTGAGCGAAGCGGGAGGGGGACGCGCGCAGCAGCGTTAAAGATATAAGGCGCGTTACGTACACCGACATCAGCGTCGCGTCCGTAGCTTATTCGGTAGAGCGTCGCGCTGCGGCCCGCCAAGTCCTCTTTCTTTTAAAGATAGAGAGAAGACTGCGGACGCCGCCGAAGGCGGTGGATGGTTTGGGGTCGCTTATAAAGTGTATTCACACTTAAAACATGAAATAAGTTTATATTGCTGACGTTACTAGCGAGATACCACGTTGGAATAGCAAACGTGTCGTTTCACACCAATTGTCCTATTCATTTTGACAACCATCTCAGGTGTATCGAAAAAAAAAATGTGCTGATTAGTTTACAGTCACCACAGTGAAAAGCTAAAATATTTCAGGTAGATAAAAAAATGGGGGTCATGTGGGGGACTTTCGAATTCAGCCTTATATCGTCTCAGTGACGTTTGTGAGAAAACTTATTCATGAAGTATCGTTTCTCGTTGAAATGTCCAACTTGGTTGACATAATAAGCAAAGGAGTTTGTGTAAATTATATGAAGGTCAACAATGCCACTGCAATTTTTCGGCCATGTACGCCTCTCAAAATTTCGCAGAAGTACTTCTTTGTTTGCAATTTTTTTTTCTCCTTAAATATTGCGCTGTCAATGGATGTGGGAGGGATAAATACTTATTCTATGGAAGGTATAGGTTGAGTTGAGATTAGTTTCTGGTCACCGAGGATTGTTAATCTCGGTGGGCTTTCATCTTAACTTTTTCACTTCTGCGAAAACAATACTGCCAAATTTAGCACCTTTTTTGTCATCGAATTTGTAAAGTCCTTTTTCTGAATGAAATGATGCGATCTTTTTATTTTCAATTGAACAAAGCTGTTTTTTTTTACTGATTGCGTAATGGAAACAAGATCACGTGAAGACGACGTCGCCGCTTAACAATGCAATGAAGAATGTCAGTAAAATAAACCCAAGGCACAAGTGGAAGATATAATGCAAGTATGGTTATCCTGCATCAGGAAACAAAACTATGACGTGTATAATCATCACTGCATTCAGGTGGGATCAATTATATTTTTATTCCTAGTACTGTCCTGATCGATTCAATATAAAATATCATGGCGGCTATACCAATACACTGGTGCAAAACTAATAATAATCATAACGAGAAAATATTATAGTTGAAGTTTAACGTCCCAAAACCACCATTTGATTAGGAGATATGCCGTAGTGAAGGGCTTCAAAGATTTCGACCACCTGGGGTTCTTAAACATGCATCTAAATACAAGGACATGGACCTCAATTATCTTCGCCTTCATCTAAATTCGTCTTCCACGGCCGAGATTTTATCCCGTGACCTGCGGGTCAGCAGCCGAGTGCATTATCAACTACAGAGCCGTGACAGGTTAATAAGGAAAAGTAATGAAGCAGACGTACTTGTGAGACATGTCATGTTGATAGACCATTATTGTGGCATCTTACAGCGAGCAGCGAGCAAGACAGGGACGACAAGCAGGCGCTATCTCCGAAGCGTCCGCGGTTCATGGACGACGAGATGCTCATCGAGGAGATGAGGGTTGCAGCGGCCGCTACGGCTGCAGCAGCAGCTGTCGAAGACGGCGCTGCCAGTGCCGAAGCGGCCATGAAAGCCGCCGACGGAATCTCAGCGGCCGCCGAAGCGCACCACGTTGCTCGGTCCGCAGGCGCCGGAGACTTCCCCATGCAAGTCATCACTTACCTGCTCACACGTCAGGCCAAGGAAGCTCAGGTGAGCTCAAGCCTTGACGTGGCTAACATCAATTATCATCAAGCATAGAAGAAAAAAAATGGCAGCATATCCACGGAGTGAATGATGGATAGTGGGGCGAAGCATCCGTCCGTCCATTCGTTCTTGCTTCCGTCCAACCATGCATGCGTCTGTGTGGCCGCCCGTGCATCCACCCGTCCGTGCATGCGTCTGTTTGTGCGACCGCACGTTCATACGTTCATCTGTGCATCCGTCCCTGCTTTCGTCTATGCATCCGCTCCTGCGTCCGTCCATGCGTCCATCCGCCCGTGCAGCCATCCGTGCGTCCGTCCATGCATCTGTCTGTGTGTCCGTTGGTCCACCTATTCAACACTCCAAGTACCACTATCTCGCATATTTTCATCATATATTCCCCATATAGAAGCACCGCCATCCAGCGGACATTCCAAGGACTGAACGAGAGGGGGCACACACACACTTTCTTACGGCTTGCGCTTCGTGTCTACTTCCCACCTTTAACCACCTCGAGTTCATATTATATACTAGTTCACTGTATTTGTGGCACTGCGGCCCAACGCTCGCTAAACCTTTCTAAAACCTAGGAGGTTGCGCCCAGTGAGTATAACGTAGCAACCCTTTCTTGTCTTCTGTGCGTTGTTTAACAATAAAAAATTCGCAGCGTGCGCGTTAAGTAAAAGCCGAATTCGCCTGTCTCTCATTCCCACTTAGCAGCCATTGGCATGTACATTTAGCACTATTTTTTATTGTTCAAGAACGCACAGAAAAAATCTCTCACCAGCACCACCTTAGAGGTCAAAATGTTATACTTGTTGCACACTACTACAATGGCTGCGAGGGACGAACAGGTGCCGTTATAAGGAGCTTCGCCCCCAGAAGAAATCCTACAGAATGAGAGGCAGGGAGGTTAACCAGTTTAGGAAAGCCGGTCTGCTACCCTACACGTGGGGTCGGGGAGATTGAAAGAAGGAATGGAAAGAGTGAGATGAGGGAAAAAGCTACAACAAACAAGGCAACAAACAAAGGTAGCGGATGTTATAATTTATTCGTCAGATCAGGCAAAATAAACGGACCTGGGCTACCCACGTATTGCGTAAGACAGACAACAGGTGCATGATAAGAGCGTCGGAATAATTACCAAGGGATGGAAAACCTACGCGAGGAAGGCAGTGTGTTAAATGGACTGCTGAAATTCGGATAAAATGGAGTCTGCTCAACAGAAGTAAGAAAGCTGAGGATCATAGAGAGGGGCCTTCGTCGTCCGGCAGTGGGGACCTAAATGGGCTAAAGATGATGGTGATCATAATGATCATGATGGTGGTCCTAAAAACAAGAGGCTTCTCACAGTGGACGTAATCTGCAGAAACCGGTGGTATACTGACCAATAGGTGTGAAAAACACAGTCTGTGGAAGGAGGTGAAAGGGCAACAAACACCGAGTATCGACTGACTGTTCGCATAGTTTTGGTACAAAGGACGGAACACAGGACAGGACAAACAACTTTATTTGGTCCTGAGAGGCAAGGCAGCGGGCCAACTATGTAGGTCCCCACCCAGCCGTTGGCTAGTCCCATGTCGGAACAGAGAGGCCATGCCTCTCCGCTCGTTCACGGGCCCTCTGGACAGCCTGAAGCTGGACGTCTTGTCTGGGGTCTGTGATTGCCATCGTCCAGTCTTCTTCTGTTTTAAAATCCTGTAACGCAGGGCACTGCCAGAGCATGTGACTCAAAGAGCGAAATTCACCACAATCTGGGCAAAGTGGATCAATATCCGGATGAAGCATGCTCAGAAAGCCCCTAGAGGGGTAAGACCCCGTCTGGAGCATGCGGAGCGTGCTTGCTTGTGATCTGTGGAGCTTATGATGGGGAAAAGGAAAAGTCTGTCGCTCTCCTCTGTAATGAGATGTTATCTCGTGAAAAGTAACGAGAGGATCACTGTGGACGAGCTCTCCCGAACCCACCCGAGCGACCACCCCGTCGCGGCTTGTGAAACCTCGCGCACAGTCGTGGGCTATCTCGTTTGGGTTCAGGTGACCCGGCAGTACGTCTGGTCTCATGTGAGCGGGAAACCAGACTATGTGTTGAATAACGTCTGAGGGGGGTTTGCTGTGGAGAATTCTGGCTGCCTCTGTGGCTATCAATCCCGATGCGAACGCCCTAACGGCCGCTCGGGAATCGGTGTACACCGTGGTGCGTTTCGTGTCCAGTAATGGACAAAGGACGGAAAACTTGGGTGCATTCGTACGCCATTTCGCGTGTGTGCATGTGCGTGCGTGAGTGTGTGTATAACGAGCGTAAGCCACTTTAACATAAACAACGAGAATGAATGCCCCAAAGTAATTTTCGAAACAAGTGAGCTTGCTAAAAAGAAAGTAATAAAATGTTTTGGCGCATTAACAATAACAAAACACTGCGATTCCTTTAACTAGGGCCTATACTTACGTAGAAAAATAGTTGTCATTAGGACAACGGCCTTCAACATATTTATTGAAAGAAAGCGAAATGTCACTGTGCTTTGTTGGCGTTTTTTTTTTAGAACTTTCACTTTGAGAACTGAATAAAAGAATGCGGTAGGCGGAAGGCTGGGGTAAACATGGCTGCTTGAAACAATAATTCTAAAATCCTGTTTTCGTTGAGGCCCTTCCGGGGCCATTACATTTTATAGCTTCGGCAGTGAGAATCAAAGCACGGACGGCATAGAAACATCAGAGCAAGCGATAGGCAATGGTGTTATTTCTGTGTAGTAGAACATCATAAGTACTAAACGTATCCTAAAAACGGAAATGTTACATGTCTTATACATATAATAAAGAAATAGGTGTATATTTAAGAGCTACGTTTTTTGTTAAACCCTATAATAATGACAACTAACAGGCAGTGATGCCAAGAGAAGTACGTGGGATGTAACAAGAAGTAATTTCACTTTAAATGGTATGAAAGAAAAGTGGGCTAAAAGATGACATGCGACAGGCAGGATCTTGACCGTTGACCTTCCGATAAGCGTTGGACGCGTTATTCGAAGGTCGCAGGTTCGTATCCTAACAGTGGCAAGTTATTGTTTTGTCCACTTTTATTTCTTCCTATTTACATTACAATTACTTCTAATAATCCTTACATAGTGAATTATCGTTTATAGCGAAATAAGTAAGTGCATCGTTGCGCTTCACTTCTGAGACATTTATTTCTTCATAGCGAAGCCACAAATGCGAGGGCCATCGTGGTGTCTGCTGCAAGGAACAAATATTCTGCTGCCGTGAGGCTCAACAATAGAATGATAGCATAAAAATCTAAACAAATATTGAAAGTTGATTCGTGCACTTTTGACAGTCATTTGAAACAGTTGCAGATATTTGGTCATCTCGCACAAGGAAAGCTCATTATACTAATTAAGTCCCCCGATGAATTGAAGTTGAAGGCACAAGCTTAGCCGTAATTGTTCTTTTGTTGCGAGTTGGTTCGAAGCCTAGTAATTCTGTTTTGTATCTAGTAATTCGTGTGAGCCAGATCGCCAATTCGTGAGTTAATTTTTAACCAACACAATGTAACGATTGCCAGATATACTGAACTAAGTTATGTTACCACTACTGCACTTTGTTATGATCTGGTTCAGCTTTATTGGCCGCGAGGGCCTCCTGAGAGACCAGCGCTGCGATCGTTTTGACGTCACAGATAGTAGTTGTTGAATACGGCAGCTTTGTTTTCGCGACACCAGTTTCATTTGTCCCCCATGGCTGCACTGGTTTTTAGTCGCGATTTCACGATGCAAATTAGACACGAGAGAGCCACCAGGGACATCGATTCATAGTTTTCTTGCCCGTATTATCAGGGCTTACCGCTTCTTTAACTGAGCTTAACTTTAACTGAGCTTTAACTGAACTGAGCTTCGAAATGAAGGGAAGCACGAACGGTGTCCACAGCAAAAGCGCAGGGAATGCGGTATTATAACAGGCAACACAACTCGACATCCTATAAGTGACGTCATCACGTAGGTGGGGCAACGGTATGTTCTCGAGGCCAATATTGTGGTGGTAGTGGTTAAAAGAAGAAAAAAGTGCCTTATTTCTGCAAGCCGGTTGGGAGCACGGCGCAGCAATCAAAGGCTGAGCAAAAATATGTGCGTGCCACCATTTCCATATTCGAAGAAACAGTGATTCTACGGAAATTTTACGTGCTTTGCATTTAATTACCCAGGTGACATGTCTTCCTTTTTATCTTAGGTCCGAGAACGTGAGCTCAAGATTCGACAAGAAGAAGTGCAGCTGGAAAAGGCAAGGCTCAAGCTTCAAGAAGACAACCTGGCTCTGGAAAAGGCCCGCTTTGAGATAGAACGCCAAGAACGTGAGCAACGGCTCCGTTCTGAACTACAGGATCGCAGCGTCTTCATGGAAGTGCTGAAGAAGGTCTTCAGCAATGGTCTCGGCGGTATATGACGGGACGTCACATTCAACGGTGAAGGAGGCGCTATCCTCGCAAAAGGGACTGCACGGGTGCCAGTGCCTGTTTAACAGTTTATTTTGTTTTATTTATTTATTTATTTTTCCAACATGAAACCCCGGAAAAGTCTTCGGACGTAAAATTACCTGGCAATGCGGTGCCCCGGTCTAACTCTAGTCTTGCTTTTGTTTTGCAGTACAATTTTACAGTACATTTTTTACAGTACATTAAACACCCATCGCCATTGTGGCCTGGTCTTTGTGCACGTGTCTGTTTCTTTTCTCTCCATATCAGTGAGCTAACATTTGTGAGGCTGGTTTTGGAAGGGCTATATTTTCTACTGTTACCACAAGAAAAAAGGTGAGTTAACGCATTGTTTCGGGCTATGGTTGTTGGACGAGAGCAATCTCAGACAAAAACCGCAGATTCGTGTCACTTAAGAGCCAGCTCTGCGTAACAACATATGTCGCAATTAAAAAAAAAGCGTGCGCTGCCTTTCTCTGATTATCCCCCACAACTTAGACCGACTAAACGATTGTTTGGGTGTCTAAAACACGAACACAACCAATATTTTTTTAAATTGAAAAAAAAAAATAAGACAATCACTCGTCATTCACGTAGCTGCAAAGTATATCTTCATGTAGAAAGTTCGGATAAAAAAGACTTGGCACATGCCACGTACCTTGGGAATCGCTGTTATGCGAATCCCAACGAAAAAAAAAACTGACTATGCTGTACTTTTTTATTGAGTTATACGTTGCGAAATGATGTCTAAGTCATGTACAAATGTTATATATATACACCTTTTCACAGAAAAGAAAAAAACACCGCCATGATGGGCTGTGCGCGGGAGTACAAAGGCTAAGGGCGCAGCGTTGCCAGTGCATTTTCGAGAGGACGCGCCAATTTGCACAGCCCAAGGAGGGCTATGCCCAGGGAGGCTTTTATGAAAAGGTGGATATGTCTGTGCATACGAATGTTGTATGCACAGACATATATAGAACAGTGGCATATGTTTTATATGACCAGTTGTTTACAACTGTGAAACGATAGCAGTAACATGAATATTCGCACCACCAGAAGCGGTAAGCTGATATATAGCACTTAAGCTCGCGAGAATGGTAGCCCTGAACACCGCTACATCAATCGTGGATGGCGCTTAACTACAAATGGCGTCAATTCGACGTGACGGTTGTATAATACATATATGATGTTCATAAAATTAGCACTGCAGCCCCGCCACGGTAGTCTAGTGGCTAAGGTACTCGGCTGCTGACCCGCAGGTCGCGGGATCAAATCCCAGCTGTGGCGGCTGCATTTCCGATGGGGGTGGAAATGTTGTAGACCAGTGTACTCAGGTTTGGGTGCACGTTAAAGAACCCCAGGTGGTCAAAATTTCTGGAGCCCTCCACTACGGCGTCTCTCATAATCATATGGTGGTTTTGGGACATTAAACCCCACAAATCAATCAAAATTAGCACTGCAACCACTGTTGACGTTTCATGAACATTGAAGCATTTTGGAAAGGATTTCGGATATTTGGTGGGTCTCCGTGCTAGGATACATGATTGTCACGCAGAATGCCCGAGTTGGATTCCTGCTGGGACCATATCTTGTATTGCTTGCTATTCATCGGGTCAACGCTGCTGATGGCCGTTTTTCTTCACGCCCTGGCATTCGAATTACCAGTGTCCGTCTTGAAGGAAGGCAGTGTAAAGTTAGGGCTAGTTTTCTTCGTTATACACAATAATATTGAACACAGACAATAATGAAAGGGGTATATAGGGGTTGTTATTAGAACTAATTGTAATGTGGCCATCGTTTGGCAGAGATAAACTATCAAATACCTGTGGCGTGCACCCGCATATCGTGACCAGTGGTATACGTGTATGTGCCACAAGTTTCCGAAGGAAAATGATCTCACGTTCTATGCGACGGGATTATCACCTTATTTTTCATGATCGTCGAGCCATATTCGTCCAACAATCTCGTACCTCTCATACTAGTTTTGGTTTGCATCATGTTAAGAGAGCACCCAGACGTTGGCGGGTACGTAGATAGATAGATAGATAGATAGATAGATCTCATAAATATGCCAAAGTTGCCGAAGTTCGCTAAGAAATGCTTCGCCTTAAAAATATATTTTGTGTTCGGCGACTTCAAGGGCTATTGTTGCTGAACTGGATGGCTGACCGCTCTTTGCAAGTGCGATTGAGACTATACTATCGCGTGTAATAGCGTATTCGACGCCAGCGATTGACATGTTGAACCGCTTAATTAAAGCTTTCCTGTGGCAAGCACCTTAAAACACAATTTCTTTCTCTTAGAGGGCGAAGCTCCTCAGGGTGTGAGCCGTTCCCTTTTCCGTTATAGTAGTAGTAGTAGTATTCAATCATCTCTAGTATGTGCATTGCTCAATAGACATCATTGTGTGTATATGTCCTTATAAATAGGATCAGTAGACGGCGTGAGCGGTTTTCGTATAGTTGATGGACAGACAGACAGACGGATGGACGGATGGTTCGCCCCATCGTGGATATCGTGTGAAATTTTTTTCATAGAGAATGCCGTCGTCACATAGTCAAGCCGAGTATCTTGTCTTCGGTAGGAATCATCGTGGTCACCCCGATAAAAAAGGCGCTACTGCTTATCCGCAGCGATCTCTCGCGCTGGAGCACTAGCCATTATCTCGCCAAGTGCTGGCTCGCCCTACAGTGCGCCTGCGCACCAAGTTCGCCTCGCTCGTTTCCTTGCATTCGGGCGCTTTCTAGCGTCCCTTCCTGCCGCCGGGGGAAAAGTTGGTTCTCTCTCGTTGGCTTGAATCATCTGCGTGCGCTTCTTCGCTCTTGATAGCTTGCTTGCCTCGTCGTGGATGTTACGCGGTGACGACGAATTGGTACGATCGCAATGAAGTGCGGCGGAACACTTGTGCTCTGAGGCTGCTTATTTTACTACGGTGGTTCTCGCATGCTTTCCGTTCACCTAGATCAACGAAAGCAACGTTAAATGAAAGCCTAACCACGCTATAGTCTTTATTAGGAACCAACGGTTGTCCACCTACTTCGTTGTTTAATGAAAGCTTAAACTCCCTTCTCCACAGTGTATCACTCGGTTATTAAAAACGTCGAAAGAGGGATCGTTTGCTTTGTAGATGCGCTGAACAGGGCAGCTTGCAGAGTTCTAGCCTCTAGATAGCTTGGATCATTTGAAACTGCAGTAACTAACGTGCTTCATGAGCATTACTGACAGCATAACGTAATAAAAGTAAGCAATGTTGCACTTTTGACACAGGTCCCAATTGTGGTCACTGTCGGTTGCCATAAACGCTCGAACATATATTTTGCAACTGTCCAGCATATGCAAGCGAACGTCAGCAACTGATATCTTCGATTGGCCGATATATTAGTCGACCATTAACCGATGAGGTTGTGTTAGGTCCTTGGCCTGACGCCAGCAGCACACATGTGGTTATACGACCTGTCATCGCTTTCTTAGAAGCCACTGAACTGGATGCACGTCTGTAGAGTTACCCAGCCTAATAAGAACATATCATATCTCTACCTTACCATCACTTACCATCACTCTTTCACCCCCCAGTCACCCTTCCCCAGTGTAGAGTAGCAGGCCAGAGCAAACTATAGCTCTGGCCGACCTCTCTACCTTTCTGTAAAGAAATTCTCTCTCTCTCTTCTTTATTGTTTTACGCGACTAGAACGCTTGTATGCACATTGGCGAGTTTATCGTCAACGCGTGTCTTATCCCGTGGAAATCTTGGTTTTGGTGAGTAGCTTGATATGAATTAAAAGGCAGTGAGTGGTTCTTTTCGTATCCTCTCAGTTCTTCATTTGTTAATGACCGTGAACACGTGGTTGTTCTCACTTGATTTGTGTTTAGCGTCATCGATAAGCGCGCTTGGTTGGGGAAGTGTCTGAATTAATTTCAAAGTGGGCATGTATGAGTGAATATACGTTATATATATTAAGATACATATCGAGCTAATTGATCACATCTGGACAAAACATTAAACCACAATGATAAACAATATTCAACGAGCACTCGAAACGGGAACGAGCTGCATGAGCAAACTCATTGGGGTACAGGTTTTCAGTTTCCACCAAAAAGGTCTCCGTCATTATTTATGCTGCATAAGCTTCTGGTAGTGGACAGGCAGTATAGAATTACAAGAGCCCGCGTGACTATTTTTATACTGAGGAATGTCAAGAAATGTCCAAAGGACGTCGAGGATCAAAACTCACAGGGTTCCTTAGGTGCTCACCTATAGGCGCCTAGCAACACTTTTTCAAGTAGCCGTAATGAATTAGATTCGGTAAAGGAGCAATTTTTCTCACGAATTCACCACCGCAACAATAAATTTAGAATCCGTCCCGTACGAGCAGAGTTACAAAGATTTGTCCACGCCACAATTGATTTCTCTCTTCTCTCGGGTGGCTACGACGGATGCATTTTCGATGGAGGCGAAAATGCTGTAGGCCCGTGTGCTCAGGTTTCGGTGCACGTTAAAGAACCCCAGGTGGTCTAAATTTCCGGAGCCCTCCACTACAGCGTCCCTCATAATCATATGGTGGGTTTGGGACGTTAAACTTCACATATCAATGAATTCTTCTATTGGATCTCGGGGGAAGGAATTAAAGGAGAGGGCATGTGCAGACTGCACGCTGCGGAAAAAAAAAGTGTAGAGAAAATGACATCACGATGGCCATATCTACTAGGCACAATGGCGGCGTTTTTACGGTTACGTGCTGTGCAGAGTAGCTGGTCTAGCAGTGAGCGGTGGCGCCATGTGCGGCTTCATAACTCTTGCATTTACACGCAGTGGAAAATATCCGTTCTTTTTGGCCGAGTAGTCAGCAACACAGTTCTCTCCCGGCAGTTACTGTACTTGTAGCAACGTTTACAAAATTTGTTGCCAGCCTTGGGGCATCACTAGTGCATAGAGCGAGCGCGTATATTTATTTGTCGTGCGGCAGATGAAGTAATGGAAGGGCTCCACGAAATTGCGTTCGAGCGCCATCACAAAATGGAACTACGACGAACGCCTTGATGATCAGTGACCGCTGTGCGGTGTTTCTGCTTGTGACAACGCACGAAACATTTGTGCTGAGGACGTCATGGGCACATATGTTGTTTTGCGTTTGACAAATGTACATTAACAACTTGCATGGTCGTAATAAAACACCTTTCCGGCTTCGCTTACCATGCTAACCCGTTCGGCATTAGAGCAACGATGTTCTAGTGTTACCTTA